CCAATGCGTATTTGTTGATAATTTTGTTGGAGATATGGGAAATTCAACTAGGTAAGTGTCTCTTTGAATTTATAGCTATAATAAAAATTTTAATTATTAACAACTCATTTTACGATTATCTATCGTTCTATTAAAGTTGAAAATTTAGGACACTATTTATACATTTTATACATAATTAGCATATTTTTAAATCTCTAAAGCCAATTCGACATTTGTTTAAACTCACCTGAAAATAGATATTTAATCTATTTCAAATTGGCGAGTAAGAATTCAAGTAATCGGCACTTATTCGTAAAAATTAAAAAGTGTAACGATCGAACACGAATTAACAGAAACTGCAAATATATTCATGTAATTATGTAAATCGGTTTACATTGTAAATCGGTAGGTAATTCGTATTTTAATTTTCAGTGGGATTACTTTTCCTTTCATTACAACCATACTACTGTCGATATCGTGCTTGCTATAATATAAAATGGATTATCACATTTATTAATTTTATTTATAAATTAAAAAATATACCATTTGCAAAATTTAGAAATTAGAAGAATTGTAAAATGAAATTGTAAAATGAATCTTCGGCGATTTTCCTAAAAGTTAAAAATACTTATTTATTAATAGTCGATAGAGTACCTTATTAACAAAAAACCTCTTAATTATTATTCCTTTTTGAACAATAGTTTTGGTTAATTTCTCGGATCTGCAATTATAGATATGTAGATATCATTCAGAGGTCAAAGCTGATGTCTATTACAAATTAGGATACTTATATTACATGCTTAATTAACTGCGATGTTGGTTAATTAAATATAATTAGTCGGTTCACTGGAATTTTATCCTTTTTCCAATCACCCATTCAATAACTATGCCTTAAATTACTTTTTACCTTAAAAAATAGCAAAAAAACTTACCAGAAATGGAAATTTGTTTTATCATAACAGTCATTTGGGTTGCATAACGTCTATTTCTGGTGTGTTACTGAATTTTAATCGATCATTCGAACTACTTGTAGATATTATTTTTATTTGAGAATTATTAAGAAACCCACAATTAAATACATGCATTAAAAGTATTTTCAAACAAGAAAATACCTAATATAATGTACAAAATGTTTGATAATTTTGATCTTATTTAATTTTTTTATCGATAAGATAGGAGTATACCTACACGAATTTATTAATATATTTTTGCTTTACTTCGGAATTCTGTGTCTAATTCTTTTTATTGTTATAATCTCTTTGAGATCAAAGAGGATTAAATTGTTTACAAATATTAATAATTAAGTCTCAAATTTAATTGTTATACTGATATTTAGACCCAGTAGTTCGAAAGCCTCTTTAGCTCAGTGGCAGAGCACTGGTCTTGTAAACCAGGGGTCGTGAGTTCAATCCTCACAGGAGGCAGGTAAAACGGTTGATTAATTTTTGTTTTTTTTTTAATTTTTTTTTTCGTTTCAATTATTGCAAATATTAACGCGTGAAATATAGAAAAATATTTCTTAACAAACAACACATTTTTGTAAAATAAAAAAAATCTTTACGAAACAATCAAACTGAAATGAATACGAAAAAATAACTGAGAGTAGATACTTAAAAAAGTTTGTCTAATAATTTCAAATAAGTAGCTTTCCAACAGTTCAAAAAGCACTATTTTATGTAACAACAGCAATAATTTAATATCATTCAATTAGGTGGTTTTACTTGATTTTTTTGCAATTTATTTAATTATCAACGCTTAATACTCTTCCGCACATTATGATACAGTTAGTTTCAATTTTTTTATATTTTCTACTGCCAGTTAAGTTAATAAAATTACGAGTTAGGTACCACCGTTAAAGTTAATTTCTTTGTTTTTTCCCAAATTACTGTTAACGTAAATACAGTAAGTACTGTAAGCATTAAAAATGAATCCATTAGATATTTTTTAACCACAAGCCGGCTAAAATTAATTTGTTGTCTCCTCAGTGTTTCAACTGCTGTTTTAATTTTAAATAGTTTCAATTTTATTACAATATTGTCCGTTCAACGTCTTAAAAAGAAAATAAATTATTAGAAGTTATAAGGGAATATACACCACGCCATTTGATGTAATAGCAGCAAATGATTGAAAGCGACTTTTAATTATAGCTTAGGTAATTGTAGTTTTAATTGCGTGCGTGCACAACAATAAGGATTTTCCACGTTCAAAACGTTCCTACAATAGTTCCATTAAATCCCTTTATGATCTCATACTTAAAAGCATTAATACATTAAAACGAATTGATTGCATTTCATTTGATAAACTCATGTCATGTTATACATGTATAGGGATAAGAAGAATAATCCTTTAGAAATATTCGCCTATAGAAAAAACAGGAGGCGTAATATTTCGCAAAAAAAAATCAAAAGAACTTGTGAACAATTTATAAGTATATTTTTAATTCCTAATGTCCACAGTTTTGTTATAAAAATATTTTCGTTGTCACAGATACCCACATTTTTCTGCGTTCTCTAATGTCTTCTTTTACGGTGTGCACTTTTTAAATTGTGTAATTTAATGAATTGGGTGGATGATATTTTCATCAGGAACCGACCGAGAAAATCACATACTTATCAGGCTGCATCAGATGTCACGCTGGAAATGATGATGAAATTCGACAAAAGTTACTCTCTCTAAACGGAAAGTGTCGTTATTAATTGTTATTAAAAATAAATAAACCCGCCTTATACGAAGCAATTAAATTAGATAGTGGAGGAGAAGATTTTTAACAATTTGGCTTTATCTAAATGCCTCGATTATAATCTGAGAGCATTAAACTTCCCCAAGTATTGGGTACTTTTATGAATCGCATTCGATTCGTCTCGGATTTAAACGCCATAAGTACCGGAGTACTAATACGTGAGAGCTACATCTAAGTTCTGCAATTGCAGTGTATTTAATAGAGCAGATGGCTGATAAAGATCCATTATTGGCGATTTTTCCAAAACAGAAGATTGAAACGAATTAAACATAGTGGAATTACCGTTAGTTAGAAATCATTTTTAAAAAAATCCGAAAATTAAATCGTCAGCAATGTGAGATTTTTTTTGTAGTCGTAGACTAAGATTAAATATGATATAAAGATTTTACGAGTATAAGGTTAATTATTGATTAATAGGTCTATGGTTTTTCCCTTATTTTGCGAATTTTTTGAACTTTTTACAATTCTTTCTTCCCCGTTTGTGTCTCTATAATAATACACTTTTCAAGTACCAAGCTACATTTGATGACGTATAATAAATAGGAAATAAATTAAACCTGTCAAGTTTAGTATCATTTGTGACATCGTTACGCTTTAAAATAGAATCGAAAAACCGATCAGAACGAAATGGCTGGAATGAAGACGTTTTCGGCTTTGCCGGCTCGAACTTGAGACGAAAACAGTCAGTTACGGATTATTATTTGTTCGGTTCCGGTTTTCGCAAGACTAATTTCGTTATCTGAAACAATTCCGTCGTTGCGATTTAATTTAATTTGTGTAAGAATGCTCCGGTGATCAGGTTACTGTTATTATATCACACTGTAACTAAAGTCCGTCATGACTGGAGGTCGCTGTGTTAGTATGCTTTTTTTTTGCTACATTTAATCTAAAACAATACCTGAGAATGGTTTAGAAACGCATACCTGAAACTTCTTAACGGTTCGATCAGGTTTTCCAGTCAATTTAATCAATTTATTTGTATTGAAACATTAGATTGGTAAGTGCAAATTTTGTTTGCAATATGGTCAATATTCGATGAGTTGAACAAAGAAAGATTATTAAAATGACAGTAGTTACAGTCATAGACCAGTTATAGAGTCATAGACTTATACACTTAGTGTATGTAAATTATCACATTTTCCAAGAGCTGGATTTTTCATTAGTTAGGAGCCCCTTGCTCCGAGAAAAAAATATATTTTTGGAAATTTGAAAAGTGTGCAGAAAATTGCAAGAAACTTGCATATCATAGAAGCCCATACGAAGCTAATCCAGCCTTGATCCTTACTTACGATTTCAAAGAGTTATCTACTGATTAACAAATAAGAAGCTTGATGCTATAGAACTTACAGAAAAAAACGTATCAAAATGATGATGAGAGAAAAAAGTTGCAACTAATTATTCGAGTAATTAATTTATTCTGACCGGGTAATTAAGATTGATGCATGTGCAGTTCATTAAAGCGCAACAAAAGATTTGATTAATACGAAAGAACTGAAATGACTGCAAGCATAAATCACGTTTGTATAATGCAGCTATAATTTAGCTGAATAATACGTTAAAGCGAAACAAAACTGTTCTGTTCATTTTTCACATTCTTGTATAAATTACTCGTATGTATGTAATCTTATACAATTATTTATATTTTTTGATTTAATTAAATTTGTTGGTAGATGCTTAAATATACTTGCATTTACTCACTTACATTGTTCATATAATCTTTAGGTAAATAATGATGTATGCTCGAACAGAGTAACAAAATCTATTTTGTTATAAACAAATTATCCACTTTGTTAACTTCGAAATAAGTTATATGCATAGGTATCTAACTTTTTAAGGTAAAGAACTCTCAGTTTTGTTAACGAACTCTTGCACAAATTTGTCTAGTTTTCGTCAACTTTAATTGCTCTTGTTAAGCAATTATAAAGCTGCTGTAAATAAACATTTTCATTTCGCGTTCAAGTTTGAAGATTAGATCTCCTCGCTTTAAAACGACATAATGGCAGAAGCGTAAGCTCGGAATTTCGTACGAGATGCGGGAGTTTAGAGTACGTTTCGAAACAATTAATTCCGCTATTCGAGTTCATTTTCCCAGTGCAATTTAAAAGGGATTTGCGGTTCTGAGAAGTGCGTTGAATTTTTACTCGCCCGGAATCGTCAAACGGATGACAAAGCAACTAATGTCCGAAATTGTCGACACCGCCGGTTTTGGTTCTTACGCCGCTTTTGTGAAATTAGAATTAACATTTTAACGAGATTATAATTTTGTAATTTTTTTTGTTTCAGGTGGCGCTGTACGATATTACTTTGGTTGCTATTTTGTCTTGTGCCAAACGTGAGTATGAAATAATGTAAATCTAACTTAAAAAGGAGAAGAATGATGATGATTTGCGTGCTAATGAAGCGTTTGCATTCACACTGCAGGCCTTCCTTATTTAGATAAATGACTAGATATGTTGGAATTATTGCAGAGCTAACAGATCTTATCTACCATAAGATTCTTCTCATATTCAAATAGTAGATATAATAGAATATAATGTATGTTAGTAGAATGTAGTGTATAGATAGTAGAACGTAGATAACATGATATTTAAGTGTTCATTATGATTCTTTTCCAGATGTGTTATTGTGAAGATTTCGGTGAGAACTCGACGCCTTCGGTAGAATTTAGCGTAAGTAGCAGCAGTAGTACTAGCATAGGAGCCGCTAATTTGGAGCCAGAAACTTCTGCACCATTAGAAGGTACAAATCATTCAAGGGAAGCTCTCGAGCATGAGGCTAATTCACCGGAACCGGTGAGTAGGATATTCAAACTTTCATTCGTTAATTTCTTTTTTTGTTGGTCCTTTTTTTAATTTAATCTCAAAACTACATACTTTCTATCCAGTCCAAAAGTTCCATCCAGGTCCACTCATCCAGTCAACCAGGTTCTTTAAATTGTTACCAATAAATTTCCATCTATTACTAACTATAGAGGCAAATTCTCTTTTCTTGCTAGTTTCTTACGGAGCCATTAGAGAAGTTTTTTGAGTTTGTAATATTGCAGGTGGTGTTTATTGGCGAAACAGACGATTACGTTCCAGTGCCATCTTTGCGAAAGAGGAATCACGACGTATCTGAGGCAGATATCGACTGGCAACACCCTTACGAAACTTGGGATAGGGAATATAGGAGATTCAGATTCAACAATACTAGAGTTCAACGTACGTTAAAATATTTTTAATAAGAAACCTAATTTTTAAATAAGTACTCATCAAATAAGTATTATCAAGTATTATTAAGTACTTTTCAAATTTTTTAGCGATAATTTCGCGGTAATTTTTTAATTTATTTTAAAAATTGGTCTTTCAACTTCCAATAAAGTTGAAAATTAAATTTGATTGTTGGATTCTAACGTAACTATTCATGGAGGGGAATACTAATTAATAATAATTAATAGAAATAGAAAATTAAAAAAAAAATAAAGACAAAAAAGTTCTCCACGGCGGGGAATCGAACCCCGGTCTCCCGCGTGACAGGCGGGGATACTGACCACTATACTACCGAGGACTTATGCAGAAAGTAACTCAATTCTGATATTTAAAGAAAAAGCATAATCGGGAGCAAATAAATTTTTAATTTTTAACATTTTTAATTTCATAGCATTTTCCATTGGTATAAAATAGTGCGCACTGAAAGTGCACTCAAAGCAAAATTTTTGTTTCATTTGGTGGACTGTGCGAGTGTTTTGATTTCCAACAGTGTTTTTTGGTGGCCAGATTGCCAATGGAAAACGCTATAAAAGACAATTCACAGAGTACATTGAAATTATAATTACTAGCGATAAAAATACCAATTGCTTACCGTTATTCCTCACTTTAATTTCGAATCTGATTTTACTTAATAAAATTTCAATGGATTCACGATTGCAATAAAACAGCAAGTGACAGTCGAATGAAGTGTAATTTCTTTGAAATTCGAGATATTATCTAACAATAATAATCTAAATAACGGACGAATGATAATGATGGGCGAATTTATCGGGACATACGTAATAAGAACGCACTTTTTGGTCCTGACACCGAAAGTGTTTCCTGTCATATTATGAAATAAGGTGTTAGTTCCAGTCTGTTGGAGTGGAAAGCGATCAGTCAGTTCTTTTGCATATACCGATCATCAGATAATAAAAAAATCTTGCCCTACTTTATTGAACGCCCAAATAGAAAAATTCTTGGTCAAAATTATTGTTGCATGATTATTTACTTAACGTCAGTAAAATTTTTGTAATATTATTAAAATCATAAACAAATGTTGAATTACGTAACGTTTTTATCGAATTGAAATTTGCATATGATAGTACAAGTTGAAAGATAATTAATTTTAAGTACCTAAGGAAACAGAGAAATTGCAATGGAATTATGTTAGTTGGTGCCGGTCTAGTAAGCGGTCTACCATAATATTTGCGATTTATCCACATATTTCGGCGCCCAGGCGTATTTAAATACTTTGGCAGTTTATAACAATACTTTAACATGTTTACAAAATTGCAAATGTTTGTCCACATAAAATTATTTCTACAGTTTCCGAGCTCTCTGTACCAAACATCGAAAGAAACTCACTCTCTATAATTCTTATACCCGTAGTTCTCGATAAATTCAATTACTTGCCAGCTATTCCATACATATTGATGTTATAATACTAGTAAGATCTTTTGGCTTGGTTAATGAAGGATCAATTTTCTGGCTGTTATACTTTGTAATAAATATTACTTTGTGTAAAATAAATTTGAGTCGAGTGCATATTAAACCAGATGCGGTAGGGTAGACCGCATACTAGACCGGCTCCTGGTTAGTTCTACAAAATTTTAATGTAGACTTGCGTAAAAAGTGAACCTAAAAGTTTCTTAATCAAATTAATAATCAGAAATATTAAAGATACTTAAACGTACAATCGAAAAGTTTGTATATCTATAATGTACCATATCACTGGTCTCCCAGGGCCCCTAATATCTAAATATAAAAATACAATAAACAGAGTGTATAACCTGTTTGACTCACATCAATAAAACTACCCAATTAATAAAATAATGTACAGTAATATTAAATTAATTGCAAATGTAGTAACAATTGTAACCTACACAATCAATTTTTGATGAAATTGTAGCAAATTGGACAAATCTAGTATTTATGATGAAATTGGATCGCAGTATACTAAATATTTAAAAATAAATCGGTGAATTTCATTCGGTTTCGGCAAGTTTGGGCTTGGTAAGAAAATAAAAATTGTATTGTTTCGTTAACGAAATGATGGATCTCTGCTAAAAGTGCAGTTCCTCATAACTTAGTTTTTGATATTTAGTTGACAGTCCGTAAAGCGTAAAGAATTTAACTGTAGAAATAACGGATATTCCGTAGCTATTAAAATTACTGGTATTTACAAAATTTCATGTTAAAAGTATAAAAATTACTACCGCAATGGTGAGAATTACATAATTGCTGTTCAATTCCTTGATTTTTGAGGAATAAAATTTTTTTCAAAAATTATATTTAACAATATTTTGAATAGGTATACATTTGTAGGTGTTATATTTTACAAGTATAAAATTTTCCAGATATTGAAGCTGAATGTCAGGATGACTACATGAAAATTCGGGTTGGTTTCAATGGTTCTTTTGCTGGTCTAGTATATTCAGCTGGTAAGTTCACGACTTTTAATCTGTTTATTACATTTCAAAATGAAATATAACTTAATAAACCTAAACTATATACATAGTTATAGTTAATATGAGCGATCATATTTGAATCTTTTTTTGTAGGATACGCGTACGATCCTGATTGCATGTACGTTAACGGTACTGGAAGAGATTATTACGAATTTTTCATTCAACTAAATAGATGTGGCACTTTAGGAAAAAATACTCACACCGAAGAAAGTCAAAAAACGCCTACAGTAAGTTTAAAATACTACAGGGGGGAGAGTGGGGCTAGTTGTTACAAAATTAACATTTGATTTTTTTTCATAAAAACTATTATTTGATGTTAGAAAATTAAATAAAACTTAACTATAAATCCAAATTTTGTTGGTCAATTTAATCGTCGAATAACGCTATTTGTTGTTGGTTGCACATAATTGTGTATTTTTATTGGGCAGTTAAATTTATCCATCGAATAAGGTCTTATTTTTCGTTGGTGAAACCGGGCATTATTAAATTATCATAAATTATAATTTTATAATTTTGTAATTTTTATATTTATTTTTTTCGAAAATAAAATTGTAATTCGTTTTTATTTAAAATATTATATTACCGACAAGATAACCATTAGCCCGGGTAGCTCAGTCGGTAGAGCATTGGACTTTTAATCCAAGGGTCCAGGGTTCAAGTCCCTGCTCGGGCGGTATTTTTTTTCAATTTTTTTTAATAAATTATTTTCTAGAAGAATTTCATGTGGAACACAATCACCGTGCAATACAATCCATTAATAGAAGAAGAATTCGACGAGCACTTCAAAGTCACATGCGAATACGGATACGATTTTTGGAAAACTGTTACGTTTCCATTTTTAGATGTCGAGTACGTCTTCTGTTCATATAAAAAAATAACTTCATACTGATGTACGAATTTTCCAGAGTGGCTACAGGAAATCCCGTAGTTTTCACCCTAACACCTCCCGAATGCTACATGGAAATTCGATATGGATACGGTACTACTGGTAACAGAGTAACTGGACCAGTTAGAGTTGGAGATCCTTTAACCCTGATGATTTACATGAGAAGCAAATACGGTAATCATTTAATTAATAATCTAATTAGACTGAAGAATCCCCTTTAATGTTTTTAACATAATATTGTGCCTTTACTTTGTATTATTCACACCAAATATGTATAATTTATTTCAGATGGATTCGATATTGTAGTCAACGATTGTTTTGCCCACAATGGCGCTACAAAGAAAATTCAACTGATTGATGAATACGGGTAATTTAAATAGATTTTTTAACTAAGAACCATTATGACCATTGCTTATATTTCCAGGTGCCCCGTGGACGATAAACTAATATCAAGATTTAGAGGCTCCTGGTCGGATTCCGGGGTGTACGAGACTCAGGTGTTCGCCTACATGAAGACCTTCCGGTTCACCGGGTCCCCAGCTCTCTATATCGAATGCGACGTCCGCATGTGTCACGGCCGATGTCCGGTACTACTAACTCGTCTTCTTCTTCCTTTCCAAATGACCGCTTAATTTCCCTATTTCAGAGCCAAGCTTGCCACTGGAGGAACATCAAAACCAAGAAGAGGAAAAGATCCATAGAGGGAGGCAATCAAACGGACGATGCGGCTAATAGCACCACAGCGATTCCGGTTCCGCTTTCGGAAAATGTTAATCTGTTCCAGTCCCTTAGGGTCCTGCAAGAAGGAGAGACTGATGATGAGAGAAGTAATATTTCTGCATCCAGTAAGTATTTACCTTCTCTTCAGGAAACCTTTTCTATACACTTGATTAATTTTTTGTAGGTAATGAAGCGGATCCTAACAGCGTTTGCATGAAGACTGGTTGGTTTTCCGCTTTACTAGCCCTAGGAGGTGGAGGTATGTGTCTACTTGGGGGAGCGCTTCTCGCCACGTGCACCAGAATGAGGAAGGTTGCCATAGAAAAAATGTTGAGTAATAGCCAGTTTAATGGGTATATGAATCACAGAGGGAGTATTAATTAGATTGAAAGTGGTTGACTAGGATGGGGAGAAATCTGAAACAAACGGGGCTACAATCTGTGAGAATAAAATTAAAATTAATTAACCGGGAAGTATTATTTATAAAGTGTACCTACTAAATTATAAAATGTGGTGGTGAAGTATTTATAAAACACGGTTGTATTTTCTCAACTGGATAAACGATAAGGATAATTTCGTAATTTTATAATCATTTTGCAGTTTTCTTGCAATTTATTTGTCTTATATATAGATATACAAGAATATTACCTTTAGTTTTATTCGCTATAAGTTTAAATTTCGAACTGAAAACCTCTGAAACTCACATACATGGAGAATTCGATAGTACCAATTATTTTAGAAATTTTATTGTAATTTTTAAACAATATGTGCACGATTTATTGTAGTATATAGTTATAGCCAGTAAGTTTTCTTAATTTTAACTTAAATGTAAATTAAATTTATCTCTTCTCCTGTATGTGTAGGTACTTTATTAATGTATCTTATAAAAACAATATATCAAAAATGATGTTTACATAAAATACATTACTTATATTGTAAATATAGTAGTTATATATTAAAAATTACATTTTTAATACTCACTTTTTCTAGTTTGATTGTTCATCTTCCATTCCCAATTTTAATAAAACCAATTTTAGAATCTTAAACAAAATAAGTAACAAAGCAGTATCATGAAATTTTGAATTATTTGTAAAAAGATACGTAACAATTACTATTTAATAATATAAAAAAACTGATTTTCAAAAAAAAAAAAATTTGGATACCCAGGAAATCTGGCCTTTTCGAATAGTCTTATTAGGCCAACATATCCAAAGTTCAGGTTGAAATAGATTGACTAAAATAAGTAAAAATTTAACAGTAAATATGAAAAAAGCGTTCATTAACTGCACAATTAATTGTTTTGTATATATTTTATTTATAAACAAATTTCTTTAACTGTAGAACTAATCTTCTTTTTTTATTAAATATAATTTGTTCCATCTATTGGTAAGTAAACGAATTAAATTTGATGGTAAGTTGACAGACGACAAGACACTAGAGATTTCTGTAAAATGGCGGTTGCTTTAGGAACTAACGTGTTGAGTAAATTCTGAAAGTAACATGGCTGATGGCTACCGTCAATTGAGTCAATTCTATTATTAAGTGACTTGTGTGCAAATTAAACAGACTTTTTTGTGTGTAAAATTTAGTGAAGTTTGTGGTCCATGATACTGTTTATTACTTAATCGGTAAGTCAGAAATTATACTTATTTCACAAATGATTACCCTTCGTTTACAATTCACAATCGGTTTTTGCGGACCCTTGTTTTTTATTTGTAATTTTTTGGCAAGGCGTTTTTGATGTTTACTCTGCTTATTTTAGTTGACTAGTTAAAATCAGGTATTTTTGGGCTTAATAGAAGAAACCTAATGTTTTACTAGTGCCGAAGGACAATCCTTATAAGTGAAAATGTCATTCCTTGTTACACCTGATGGCAAAATTGAATTTACTCTTATTATTTGATTACTGAAAACGGCGTTTTAACATTATATCGAGATCAGCGCGGAAACTAACCAATACGTAAGTACAACTGTATGCTTCGTATTGTTAATTTTTCCTTTATTTTGAATAAAGTTTCTTATTTTCTATACCACTTCCAAAGTCCCCAACATTATTTAAATGAGGTAAAATTTTGCAATATTCTAAATTTGTAAATCATAAAGCCTTGGTTGATGTTTGTCTATGTTTTCATAAGTATGAATTTAGTTATGAATTTTACGGAAACCTTGTTTGTTATTGATGCGAATTCTTCATCGATAGTTCGTAAGAAATTATTGAAATCAATTGAAATTCTATGACGTCAATCATTTTTCATATAAGGTACTTCTCTACTCTTTTTCGTTAATTAGGTACTTTCATTTCATTAGCGAAATGTAAAATAGACATTTACAAACAGGATGAGATAGTACGTAAGTAATCCATTCTACCAAAGAAATGCTTCTAATTACTATGTCAGTAATTTTATATTTTGTTGAACCAAATTCCTTGAAGCTTAATAGCAGAATGTATGTATTTGAATTTGAAATAAATTGTATATTGTGGGAAGTGCTTAACATTCTAATGTTATCAGCTGTATCAAAAATTGTATGGGACACACAATAGTGCATGTGAGTTACTTTCTGAAGAATCGTAGCTTAATTTAATCACGTACTAACTAACTAATGCAAGAAGAAGAAGAGGGAAATTTGAAATTTTATTCTTGAATCATAGAATGCTTCTCTGATATGTTTATGATTTTTTTAAAACTATTTTAATAGCATGTTATTTAATGTTAATTTTATAAACTGGTTTATTACTAGTCTTGTGCATATTTTGTGCATATTGAATATTAATTAGACTATTTTTTACATTCATATAATTATCTCTTGGCTTATTAACATTTTTACATTTCTTTCATAACATCTTATCTATTAAATATTTGAACTGGTTTATCTTTTAGCCTTCCCAAATTTTTTCAGTTGAAATGCATTCATCAAATCAAGTTATTTTCCTCCTGAGGTTGGCTCAAATTTCCGCACAATTGTACACATGCTAAATTCCCACTATCTTTCTATGTTTATTTATATTTCTGCAGTCTATTTTCACATCTTCAAGTAGATGTACTTAAAATAATGTTATAAAATAAAATTAAATGATGCAAGGTCAGTAACCTCATAGATATATTTTAATCTTTCGGCATGCCAAACTAAATATATTTAATGCGAACATTTATTCGATAAAATAGGTATTATACTAATCATGTTTTTTCGGGAATTTAGATAAATGGTTACTTAATAAAAAAATTTGCAAGTAAAATATGTGTTATAAGGTGTATATGGCTAAAATATTAAGTTAATATTTGAAAAAAATCTAATTTGCATTGTAATACTTAACACAAGGAAGATATTAATTAGATCTCGCAATAAAAATAGAGCAAACATTTGAGAGAATTTGGCCAATAAAAAATTGTAATACTTAATAAAAATATTTGCAATCTCATATCCTAACATGAGTAAACCCTAACATAATCAATATTAGAGTAAATAATAAATATTACTGCTTCAATTCGACTTTTCTAATGCTTTCTTTGTAAATATTCTTAATTTTTACGGTTGATATACTAGGGTAGGGTGAAAAGTTTTCGGCCTAAATCATTTATAACCATTTAGAACGCTTCAGAACTATTTAAAACGCTCCAGAATCAATTGGAACTGTCTTGAACTAAAAAATTCGACGAATAAGTAGAAATGTAATTTTTCAACGGAAAATCGCGGTCTTTCATTGTCTGATTGATTCACCTTACCCTTGTAACAATCTTTTTATCGATTTAATGTCTAAATTGTTCGAGTGAGTTTGTACTCTCTTTAATTTATTCTAATTCGTAATCGAAGATGTATTTTTTTTAATTTCAGTTTAGCCTAAAATGGCGTATACCCGTCCGAAGGACTTGGATGGGTTTTCTGTCCTACTTTCCAAGCAAGACACGAAATTTCGCCAGCAATTGGGAGCGGATTTGTTGGTCTTTCTCGCCGAGCCTTCGAATTCCGTCGAATGCCAGGATACGGGACTTTTCGTTGACGGGCTCATACCTTGGATACAGAGCAGCAATTACAAGGTAAATATTTTGTTTTTATTCGAACTGAAGCGTTTTTTCAACGACGATATAATATTAAATATCATTTAACGGAATATCGTGTTAAGACACCGCTATAAAAAGTTATTTTAGAATCTTATGTCATTGGTTAATGTGATAAAACGAAGGTGATAATAAACATGAACGTGTTTATTGGTATTCGAGTGGCGTGAAAATTAAATCTTATTCGTAATTTAAATAAGATATTAATATGTAAAATATATTTTGAGTTGTCATAACTCGACCACGTTAAAAATGTACGGAAACAAATCAAATTGCGAATAATAATAATAATTTGACTAACGTTTAAATACATCAGTCGAGATTTTGTCCTGTTGTTTAAAAACTTTTTGCACGCCACTGAATCATTTGCCTTGGGCAAATCCATTCAGGGCAGATTTACGATAATTACAGTAACTGTTTTTTAAGTAACAATCATTTTTGTACAGATAGCAGTATGTAAAATTATTTAATTGACACAATTATTTCTATTATTAAGTAGCTTCTTTCGGAGATTGAAATTGTGGCTTATTTTTATAACGGGTTAATGTTATTGAATTGATATTTATAAATTTTCTCGCATTTTTTTGCAATTTGCTTAAAACCCTATAGAGATAATTCAATTTTTCATTGCACTTGAGCCAGTGGGCCTTTTTTACTTTCAAGGATATTTGCATAATTTAACGGTTTGGTTAAAAATGAATATTTTTAATTATTGTTAACCTCACCCGAAGTTACTTTATGTGAGAACTGACGGTATATTGTGATTAATAATGTTAAATTCACATAAAGCCATAGAAAGATGTAGGATTTCCTGCCGGAAAACCTGTTAAGGAAGGTGCTTCAAAATAACAAATCTACAAATTAGTAGAAATGGCAATTAAGTAGCGGAATATTCTCAGGCTGCTATTAGTTTTAAAATTTATAGTAAACAAAGTAATTTTGCTTTTAAATATTTTAATCTACACGTAATATGACAGTTTTTACAGCCACCTTAATTTTATTAGAACGTAATTTTCATCACCTGAAGTTCCTCGAAATGGTTGGTGATTTAATAATAAGACTTGCACACCAATTTCAACCCAGTCACTCACAATTTCAGGGTGTAAATTGATCAAATTTGTCCACAAGATTCGCCTACGTTTGAAATCCGTTATTAATAATTACACTCTTAACATAATGTCAAGGTTTTTTTGTTTCGTATAAAAGGCCATTAGAAAAATTTCTGTTTAATTACAAACACCTCCGAATAATAACTACCTAACAGTTACGATAATTGATTAATAAGTTTTACGGAATATTTTCTTCCAATTTTTTTATAGTAAATTGATGCTGGCAAATTATTATTTAAAAATAACCGTGCTCCACATGCGAAACCTACGCCTTGAACAGCGCGGAGAACATAGAATAATAATGATGTAGAAGAAACAAACAATGCGATTGTCACTGACGTAGGTTGCGGTATTCAATCGCGTCGTTTGAGTGGAACCGCCAACGTCAATTCGTTTATACATTATAAAATTTAATATAAAGACGAATACTTTACGAATACTAACATATGATAATAGCAAGAAAGTTGTTACACCAGATTTAATAACATTTGATATCACATCGAGAGTAGTTGAGGCAGTTGATGTTCTCTTAATGAAATTTAATTTTAACGCTTTCCTTATCCATATTTATCAAATTTAATATTACAATTTGAGTTAACCGTTATGTAATTACCGAAAAACGCTCAATAGTGGAATGATATTTGCCTAGACATACCTTATAAAGACGATTTGTAATTTTAATTTGATTGAATAATTCGAATTAATCGATTAGTTACATAATGGAATTTTGTAATTTGGTTTTGTCAGTTAATTAATATTAATATTAATGAAAAATAGTTCTAAGGAAATCATAACAACTTGAGTACGAATGTGCTTCTGTATTAGGCACATTTAATTGGAAACATCTGTAACTGATTTCTTCTCGATAAACTTATCCTGGTTAATTCTTCGCGAAACCTTCAATTAGCCGTTTAGTCACTTTTATTTACAAGAATTTTCTCTCTTTGGCGACTGCCCCAGGAGAAATGCACCTTATTTACCACGTAAAAATAGACGAATTATTTTTAGTATGGACAGTACATAACACTCTGACATCGTCATACGTTTTCTCAGTTTTTGTTGACTGTCTTTTAAAACGGTCCTTTTGCATTTTATTGCACATTCGCCCGTTAGTGCAAATATATTTTTTTCTATTTCGTGGCGAATTATTGTATAATCGAATTTGACCGGATTGTTCGCTATATTTTTATTCGAGGTTATTTTTGTGCATTATCTAACGTTTCGGTTTATAATTAAAGACGTTTTAAATAGTTAATTGGGGTAAGAATTTTTGCTTCTACACGAATAAACATTGCATTTGAGTGCTCGCAGTTATTTTATCGCTTCGTTCAACCCGTATAGCGAATTAATAGTAACATTAGAATGGAAATAAAATGAAGAAACACGTTCCCGAATCTCGTCCTTTGGATATTCTTGTGTTGCGCGCTCTAATAAATGTCGGAATTTAAAATTTACCCGATTCTAGTATTGGTAATAAAACGACTTCCGAAAAGGGAATCAACAATAAGGAAGCCAATCAACTTAGCGGGCAACATCGATTTTAGTGAAATGTTGGCTGGCGATCAGAACTCGCTACGGTGCCGACGCTAAAACCCATCAGGTAAACATTTATACCGAGCGCATTGCGAGGAAATTGCTTTTCCGCACCGTACCGGTTTCTGGGCCGTGAGATGCAGTTGAAATTGCAATTCCTCGGGGAGAGTTTCGGATTTCTTATCGACGGAAACGCGCCGATGAATGGGCTTTTAACGTTATATTTTTTGATGCTAATGGCTCTTTAAATTGTTGCCATATTATATTGTAGGAAGACGAATAAAATGAGTATTTCGAATGATTGAAAATCGAATGGTTTTGTATGTAAGATGAGAGTTTTTCGACTCTCTGTAAGTCTTTGTGTTTTTTTATATAAATTAATAAAGTATGAAAATTTCGGTTATAATTTAATAAATAGTTAATTAACGAGACGGGTTTTTATGCAATGACTAAATGAATGCATTAATTAACATTTTCTTTTATTGTCTGCATCTTATAAGGTTAATTCCCAATGAATAAACAAAGTACTTAAAGATTTTAATAAAGGCTATTTTTCAACCGTTATAATTTCACTTTAATTGGCGAATTCATCATTTTTCAATTTCTCTATATATGACCCAAAAAGTTCTTTCTTACACAATAACAATTTATTGATATCAATGATATCATGTAAGCTTGCAGTCAAGGTTGGAATGGTAACGCTAACATAATATGCAAACAAACATACTTTGTTACATCCAATTTTATTCCATTGAATTCAAGAAGTAACCTGGAAATATTCTTATTTTTAACCCGACGTTCAAGTAGCCAGAATAGATAGAATTAGGAGTAATTGAACACACGACTAATATTAATAAAGCTTGTATAAATCAAAAATTGTGACAATTCGAAACGATAGGTCAGTAGGTGAAATGCGTTTAGTTTAGTGATGATGTAACGAATGCAGCAGAAATAATACGGAGGGACTGGATTGTGTAACAATAATCGAATTTGATTATCTAATTGAATTTTTTTGGCGGTTACGTCAAGTAGTCGATAATCTATTAAAATATTAGAGGCTCTGTCCTACACCTTGAAAAATACGACATTCGGTAGAATTATTTTTCCACACGCAAACATTCTAGGGTCCTTGTTTGATCGATAGAAATACTTCATTAAATATGTGGAAGTGAACATTTACTTGTTGGAAGGGTCGACAGCGCTCAACAAATAATTACTGCTTTCTGCCTGCTTAGCAAATTGATTCATTATTAGGATTAAAATACGCATTACACACTTCACTTGATTATTATAACACTTACAATTTTCTTTTAATAATCAGTTTGAGTTTACTTGGATTGAAATAAACTCTGTTGTGAACAAACCTCAACTTTAACTGTATCAGTACTTGTGTAGAGTGCTGTAAGTTGTATTTTACAGTACTTCAAAAGAACCCTGTAGTTTTCTGGGTCCGTAACGTTAGTTAAACGACTGAACGATCTTTGTTTCGCATCGCTTATTTAATTATATTGTAAATATCTAATCGGATCTCTTCGAAGCAATCGAATATCATCCGTATATTCCTAACCTTGTGCTATTATATAGAATGATTTTTTTTAAACGTATGGGCGGGATCGCTGAAAGAAAACGTTTCAGTCACAGATCGCTGAAGATTGTTTTCAAACAATATAGTATTTCTATGGGTAGATCCAGTTCATCCTTACATGCATTCGTCATAAAATAATACATCGCAATGTTGAGAATTCTAAAAATGAATAAAAAGGCTAAAGACCTGCTGGTTTATAAACACTTGCTGGATTATTTTATTTATTTATCCAGGGTGAGTTTAGAGACTGGCATTTTTTATCATCGTCATTTATTTTTTTATTAACACAACAATGTTTCTTTTGCATTTCAGGTTTCTGGCAACGGCATAGAAGTTTTAACATACTTAATAGACCGCTTAGGAACAGACTTTAGGCCATACGTTCAAACAGTATTACCAAATGTTATCGATAGACTGGGAGATGCCAAAGACACGGTCCGCGAGAAGGCGCAGCTACTTATATTAAAGTTGTTAGAAAGGAACGTTTTGACGCCGCAAAATCTCATCGAGAAACTCCAGCCCAGTTTTACACACAAAAACGCCAAGATCCGAGAGGAAGTCCTCAGGTGTTTGGTCAATACAATAAATGAGTGAGTTGATTTTTTATTTACACTTATTTCACTCCGATCATATCTATGGATAACTATGTCTAGATTTGTCAAAAATTGAATTATCAGTACCAACAGGTCCCTCTCGTTGATATCTACATGGTAGAATATAACAGTAAAGGTTTAACTTGAAAGCACCAAACAACTACTGACTGAAGAAATTGGGTGAATTCAGAATTATGACAGTAATCCAAACTTAAAGTAAAATTTAATAAATTCGACATATCCACAGATATCATCCTTCGTATTTGGATTCATTTCATCTTCTCCACGTTTTGTTTCCAGACACGGAGCGCAAGCTTTGACTTTGAACAAATTCATTCCCGATATCGTCACATCGCTTTCGGATCCCACGGTGACCGTAAGGGACACGGCGCTGAGCACTCTGGTCGATCTGTACAAGCATGTAGGCGAGAAACTTCGAGTGGACTTGCAGAGGAGGAATATCGTGCCGCAGGCGAAATGGCTGGTGCTTTCCGCCAAATTCGATGAAGCCAAGTCACGAGGGGAGCTGCTGCCGACCGCTTGTAAACATATTGATGGTAAGCCCGTTTAAATTTATGTTTTAGGTTTACGCTTTGGATATTTCTGACTTCTTTGTTTTTACTCCTTATTTTTTTTAGTAAATTCCGACGAGCCTGATAGAGCTGTGATGTCGACGAAAAAGACTCTTTACGGTAACGTGGCCAAAGCCAAGGCAACGCCGAGCAGTGCTAATTCTGGTAAATAAAATGTTTTGATGTTTCGAAAAATCCAACGAGCGTGCTAAGCTTAAAAGCTTTTCTATTTTCGATTTCAGCGTAAAATCTTAACAGCGAAAATTTTGTATATATTTTTATTTTATTTTTCTTCTAAAACTATATCATCAATTAAATTCATTTGGTATCGTTTATTATTTTAGAATGCTTTCCTTTTTGTGTATATATGTTTTTTGTTCTAATTTTTGCATGAAAAGTTTTCAGTCGAGTGGGGTCTTTTCGAAATCCTTCCACGTCTTCAAGTAAGTTGCTATATAATTTGATTCTAATTGGTGGTGGTTCGTAATCTTACCGTTATCCAAATCTTTCGAATACGTCGCAGGTTTTTAATGGAATACAATTTATTCATCATTTTGTTTCTTATCTTGTTCCAAGTAGTACATTTTGTCATGCTTTATTAAAGTTAAAATATTTGTATCATTATTTTTTATGGATTTATCTTCATCGATTAACAAATTTTCTCAGTAGAATTTTGTTTGTTTTAAATCCTTTTCTGATTGGGACTTTTCTATTCTTTTATTTATTAAAATTTTTATTTACAATTATTTTATGCATTTTATTAAAATTTAAACTCGCTTATTACTAATGAATACCAATGACATGTACAAAGTTGTATAATTAATTCTAAATCATATAAGGGTTTTGGTAGTTATTATGCTAATTATACTCACACATGCTGTATGAAATTTAAACACCCAACACCTTTATATATTCTCTTCGAATACATTACAATCGTTTTAGATTTTGATTAAATTTTAGCTGGAGCGGTGGACGAAGATTCTTTTATAAGAAGTTTCGAAGACTGCCCGCCTGCTCAAATATTCTCTTCGAGAGACGTTACGGAACAAATGAAGAATATCCAAGACATAATATCTGACGGGGGCAAAGATTGGAATAAACGAGTAGAAGCTGTAAGTACTCAAGACTCAACATAGATTGATATGAAGTTTTTTTCTTAAAATGGGTCTAAGAATCACCCCCTTATTATTTTTGAATAACAGATAGATATATGATTGTCTCAGTATTGAAATTGGGTAGATTTGTGTCGTGTTTATGTATTAACTTTAAATGTCCTTTATTAGACTTTATATTTATTAAATTTATATTTTTTTGCAGTTAAAAAAAATCAGATCTATAGTCATAGCGGGAGCTACGAGTTACGAGGAATTTAACGTTGGACTAAAGAACCTCGAAATCCCTCTGCAGGGAACGCTAAAGGACCTTCGTTCTCAAGTGGTGAGAGAAGCGTGCGTGACCATTTCGTACTTATCGCAATTGTTGGGCAACAAATTCGATAAGATCGCCGAAGGGCTGTTGCAGCATTTGATCAATCTCATTCAGAACTCCGCAAAGGTAAATCCATCAATTTCCTATTTTAGTACTGCCATAATCATTCGCTATTTTTTTTTTTGTTAGGTAATGGCGACATCCGGTCAAATCGCTGTGCAATTCATCATCGAAAATACGCATAGCACTCGATTGATCCCGATTATAACTAGTAATGCTGTGAAATCGAAAAGCAAAGACATCAGAAGGGCCTGTTGCATGTTCCTGGAGATGATCCTGACGCAATGGCCTAGACATCCGCTGGAGAAACAAATACCTGCTTTGCAAGAGGCCCTTAAATCCGGCATAGCCGATGCCGATCCAGACGCCAGGGTTACCTCAAGAAAGTAAGAAGTTTTAAATATTGCGTTGACAAATTGTAATTGTGCGTTTATGTTTTAGGGCGTTTCGAGGTTTTAAGGAACATTTTCCGGACCACGCGGAACATCTTTGCCAATCTCTGGACGCGACTTACCGGAGGGCATTACAAAGCGACGGCATGTCGTCGAGTTCATCGCAAAGTAATATCGCTAGCGGATTCAAAACGCCCAGAATGTTTGGCAGATCGGCCGCGGCCAGTACGACAGGTACAAAAATTTATCGAACTTACGTAATTTGTAACGTTTATCCGAATCCTTTTAGATTTAGAATTATATACTATGGAGTATTTCAAATATCCTACCCGGAAGAACTATACCATTTTATCCCGATATTTACAAGATTTACCTTCGGCCTTGCCTTGAACTCCATATCCTATCGGAAGTTTTTAAGACAAACCCTTTTATTAACAAGTACATTCCGAATTAGAAGCTATTTTTCTTAGTCCTATTGACTGCATCTTAAAATATTATTTACAGCCTTTTTATTAGTTGTAATATTTCGTAAAAATTCGAGTATAATTTTTTTTTTATTTTATTTCACGTGCCCACAAATAAATTGATAAATGTTATACAATTTAAAATTGCTTCTATTTGGGACTTGTACGAATCCTATAATTATGTATACTCTTAATTAATAATACTATATATTTTTAATATATTCTGATTTTGTTGTGCTGCAAACGCTTATCGGGAATTCAGGTAGTACGGAAAATCTTTCTAGCGGTATAAATGGTCTTCAAAGGATCCCGTCGTTGCCAAGAAGTTACAGGCAACGAAGCGGGATTCCTGTTCTCACAAGAGACAGTACGTATACATTTTTGAATGTTGTCCTTGGTTTCTTGCAATAGAGAACTGTTTAACAATGCGTTATGAAACAAGAAAGTTTAAACGTTTTATAGTATTTGTGAATTGATCATTTCGTGTATTTGCCTAGTGGGCGTGAAGTTTGTTCGTTTGTAGCCCTTTTAATAATCGCACTTTTTCAGATTCTGGTAAAAAAGGATTTAGGAGTAATTCGGCTATCGATCTACAAGCAGCGCAACGAGCCAAAGCCAGAGCTCAGTATTCGGCGATGGCGAGGACTAAAATACAATCGGGTACTGCGAGTTTGCGTAAGTATATTTATACATATACCTCGTTTTAATTTCATTTATTGAAGCACTGTAGATTAGTTGCACGTAAATTTTTTAGATGGGTAATTTTCTCATTAATCATTTTATTATTACATAATGAGTGGTTAGAGGCTTCAACCCTATTGTTGGATTTTCGAAAATTCAACTTTAACGAATTAATAAATATAATATAATATGTATTCTTTTTAGAGAGTGGGATCCTCTTGAAACATTCTCCATATATATGAAACATTTGGAAATGTGAGCGTTATTTTGAACGCGGAAGTTTGAAAATTACCCATTAATTTTCTTATTTGTACATCCTGCATAAAACTCTGTTAAAATTACTTTTTTAAGATTTTTGTTTTGCTTATAATAAACATATGTTCGTCCTAGTTTGTATTTAGCATTAATACATTATCTTTTTGCTTTTCCATGTATGACCTTAGAGGGAGAGGTAGCTCAGCAAGGTACATAAATTAACGTTCTATTAGAAATATTCAAATCTTTTAAGCAATGGAAATTCTCACTGAAGATGATCAATAAAGATGTTTTTAAATGAAAATGTTAATTTTACGAAGATTTGAATATTAGCATACTACTTTTCACAATTAAAATTTCCTACCACCACAAGTAGTATCAATATTAGTTTTAAAAGTAATTTATGAAGTATGTAAGTGAATATTTTGTGGTCGTAGGGAAATTTTATACCTTAATTACTGGTGTTTCATCACTTGTAATGTCCTTACCTAAATCACTATTAACTACTGTAGAAGATTAAGTATTAGTATTTTGTTATTGATGCTGTTGAAAAAAGTACTTGTATTTCGACAGTATTTATTTAATTGCTACAGTTTGAAAACAATTATGAGTGTACGCATGCAAAATACTACTATTTTATCTTCACCACGAGCAATCGTAAAGACCGCATGTTTTTTAGCTCGTCCGAAGAGGACACCAGACGTTGTAGAAAACCCGTCGCCTCAGCGTATGAGTAGAGCGAGGAATCGAAATTCTCAATCACAACGTAAGCAATGGGCCGATATATATTTCAGTATCTTAATAACAAATTTACTTTAGCAACGAGCAGATCCGGCTCTCCGAGTTCGCGCTTAGCCTACATATACCACAGGGCGCCGGAAAACGAATCTCCGCGGCCCAGAAAATTGTCCTCGGGCATTCCCAGGTCGACCCAAAACTCCCGGGACGCGTCGAGGGAGACCAGCCCCACGAGAAGCCTAAACCGATACAGGAGGAGCAGCAACGACAGGCCGCCAATGAACCCGACTGCGAGGCCCGTTTTGGCCCAGAAAATTTTACAACAGAGCAGAGAAGCTGAAAATGCTTTGGCCGACGTTTTTGTAAGTTCTGAAGTATACAAGGTGTTTCACGATGAGCTTAGAAGATACATCTTAGTGCATACGATGGGGCGTTCTAGATTGTTTTAGAGAGTTCGAAATGATTCTGGAGCGTTCAAAATGGTTCCAAAGAGTTTTAAATGATTCTAGAGCGTTCTAAATGAGTCTGAAGAGTTCTAAATTGTTCTAGACAGTTTTAGATGATTCTGGAGTCTTCTACATGAACCTGGAGAGTTCTAAATGATGATAGAGCGTTCTAGATTGTTTTAGACAGTTCGAAATGATTCTGGAGCATTCAAAATGGTTCTAGACAGTTTTAAATGATTCTAGAGCGTTCTAATTGAGTCAGGAGAGTTCTAAATGGTTCTATAGCATTTTAAATTGTTCTAGACAATTATAAATGGTTCTAAAAGTATATGCATGCAACATTTTATTCATATGGAGTAAGTAGGTAACCTTGTCGTGAAATGCTCTTTAAAATATTCACCATTCTGTACGTTGTGCAATTAGGAAAGTGGTGTTAATTGTATTAATTTCGTTATTTCAGAACTCTTCTGATCATTACCGTTCACCGAGAAAATTAATTAGGTCTATAGATAACCATTCGGATGAATCTGAAACATCCAGTGTGTGCTCGGAGGGGCATTTATCGTTTGATTCGTCGAGAAAGCCAATAGATGTAAGTTTATTTGACCTTCGTTTTATTCGATCAATTGGTGTTATAAAAATTATTAGTACGAAATTTAGCATGAAAATATTTTATAAATTTATTTGTTGTGTTTTTGATACAAACAAAATCCAAATTTCTTCCTTTAAAAATGTGTTGTATTGCAAAATTAACCTGTTGATTGTTGATATATCATCGCTAAATACTCATCGTTCTGAAAAGGTGTAAAATAACGTTTGATGTGGAATATCGAAATAATTTCAGCAAATTTTATGTATGAGAATGCTTCTTTGTTCGTATTTTAAGAAAAGCTTTATTAGGTCATTTCTTTTTCATAGAATTAATACAAATCTGAAAATTTGACGAGACGAATAAATTTTTTTTTCCAAATTCTATTCTCCCAATTATTGACTCTTCTTTGATGACCTCTTAAAGTTTATCTATAAGCAAATTTGTACCATGTCTTCATTTTGTGCCAGTCATATTCGTGGAGCGGCTCACAACAAAGATTATCGAGAGACCTTTGGGAGCCTGCGCGAGTGAGTAAATTTCGTTAGAGCACTGTAATTTAGTAATTGCCTTTCATGCTAACTAAACTATGCTTTTTCTATTATAGTAGGACAATAGCGTTTAACAAATTTATTAACATACATAAATTAGAGCGATTATAAATTGTTGAATTTTATGTAAGAGTACTAATGACGAGTGTAAAGACGAATGTTAATTAAAAAATTCAATATTTTATAGTCAATCGGTATAAATTGCACATTAATTACATAGGTTTGTGCTAATACTATGCGGTGTAACTTTAGCACTATTTTTATTTTCAAATGTTAGGAAAATTCATATTTTTCCCATAGGAAATAAATAAATTTCCAGAACAAATAATGTTATTTTTAGGTAATTTTTCCTGATAAGAAGTTTAGTTTCGGTTCCTAAAAGTTTACTAACATTCGAAAATAAAGATGGTGCTATAGTTATGTCCCCATAGTGTGACCTAAAGTAAATTTTTCGAGTACACAATCTTAACAATCTATACACTGATTGTACTTACAATTAATAAAGTAGCGATCTAAATATATTTTACTACATTAGAACGGAATGGTAAATTACGCGGTGGTATTGGTAATAATTATTCTTAAATAAAATTTAATAGATTAGCCATCATTAAAAACGCTTTAAATTTTTGTAGGACATCACTCAAATAATAGCAATGTGCGCGAGTACGAACTGGCAAGAGCGCAAAGACGGTCTCCTATCGCTACAGTGCTACCTCGGTTCCGAAGTGCCTTTATCACCGGGTGAACTGAAACACCTCACCGAGATCTTCACCCGCATGTTCATGGACTCCCACACCAAAGGCCTCAGCGTTTTCCTCGACACCCTCCAGGAGATCATCAAGGAATACAAACGGGACTTGGAATTTTGGCTGTACGTCCTCCTGCAACGGGTGTTCCTCAAAACCGGCACCGAAACGTTGAGCTCCATACAAGGCAAGCTGATGTCCACGTTGGATCTGATCAAATCCAGTTTCCCCGTCAAACTACTCATCGCCAACGTCTACCGATTCCTCATCGACGCCACTCAAACGCCCAACACGAAGGTCAAGAACATCGTATTGAACACGCTGTCGTCGCTGTGCAACAATCCGGACGCGGCGCAATTCGTTTCCCAACCGCCCGCTAGTCAAGCTCTCTTCAAGATCATTTCGTACGCTCAAGACACCAAATCGGCGGAGACGAGGCACGCCGCCAAGGAGTGCCTCGTCACCATGTGGAATTGCAACACGGCCCAGGTCACGATGATGCTGGCCGAGTTGCCCAAGGAGCTCCAAGACTTGGCCTCTCACATCGTCTCCACTCACATGAGGAAGACGTCGACCGGCAGCGAGCCGGGCAGTCCTATGACTACGGGAAGCCCTAAGCTTCTTTCGCCCGGTGCGACTCCCTTTAGGGACGGGTTCGACCAGGAGAACATACACAGGAAGTTGAGGAAGACCACGGCGGAAATTCAGAATTATTCATTCGAAACTCTAGGTAATTTAGTTGAAGGATTTTACTTGGCTTAATTTATTTGTCTTGCCCGAGTTTATTGCTCTAGAGATGTTCGCTACATGTCTCGCTTAAATTAGTTTCTTATCGTCTGTTGCATTTCTTTTAGGAACGAAATTGGAGAGGGACAGGGACACGACATCACAAGATTCGGGCATTTCTCAAATGTCGACGGGTTACGACAACACCAAAGATTTGACTTTAATAGAAGAAAAATTGGAAGAAATGACGATAAGGCCGAACTTTAATGTTAGATCGGGTCCGCGTTCGTTGCCTTATACATCCGTCAACGGTGTTTCGGAAACGGAATCGAACGGATTTAGGAGTTTAGGTGAGCTCTTAACCTACTCGAGTTTCGTCCTTCTAAATGTTAAATTCGCTTTAAAATTTTTAGGAGAAAGAGATTCCGAACAAATAGTGTTAAATATAATAGACAATCGTTCGCCGACGACAGAAGAGAAGCATAGAATGATATCACAAATACACGAACTAATCAAATCCGGGCATACGGAGCATGTTATTAAGAACTTCAAGTAGGCGTATAAATATGTTTTAAATTGCTATTATTTTATTACGATATGTTTATTAATTTTTAGGAAAATATTGCGAATTTTAATAGAACACATCAACGAAGAGGATGCGGCTATACAGGTGGCGGCGCTCCAAACTCTCAAGGCAATTTTCCAGTCTCCTGATATGAAGGATTGTTGGTGTGGTTTTCTGGAATTATTAATTATAAGAATATTCGCAGCCCATAGAAATGATAAACGAGAGGTTTGCATACTTCAAATTAATTTAATACCAAAATTAAATTCTTCACAAACAGTGCTGAATAGAGTTGAAGGAAGTAAAAAAATGTTATTTTAATTTTATACAATTATTTTTTTTCTCTCGTCAACTCTATCCAGGGACATACAGTACACTAAATACTAAATTCGTGATACATCCTGTACTTATTAGGTTGTATTTATAAAAAGAAGCATAACCTTTTGCTTTAAAAAAATGAAGAAATTGTTTCAAGATATATGCATAAAGAGAATGAAGGAAGGATGGTTTTGCTTCGAGGATTCTTCTGTTGCTTTAAAGCAAAAGGTTTCAAGGTTTTAAAACATTTTTCTCTTTTCTTTTGCTTCTTCCGTTTACTTCAAAGTAAATGCTTCATTTTATAAATATGGACTGTTATTGAAAATTTTTATAAATTCGAATTTCATTTAGGTTGTGAAGGAAGCAGAACTAACGGCAGCCGCGATGGTAGAAGGCCCATTTAATTCGATAATAGCCATTGTGGCGCCAATGATCAGTACCAGTTCGTATCCCGTCCTCTTGGGAGCAATAAAAATGATGACCAAAATAATCGAAGCCCACCCGACTAGTGTAACCGAAGAACACCTGAGCAAGATCATGCCTGGTCTTATAAAAGTACGTTATTATTTTGTGCGATAATATATCTAAATGCACGTCTAAAATGGTAAATTTCTGATTGTACAGGGTACCGATCATCCGGAGAGCGCCGTAAGAAAAGGATCGATATTTTGTTTGGTAACGTTACACAAAGCGGTTGGTAAGGATCGGCTGTCTCCTTACATCAATCAATTATCGGGTAGCAGAGAAAAGTTATTGCAACTGTATATTAAGAGATCGGAACAAAATTCACCTGTACCTTCGAGTCCGAAAAACAACGGGAGCAGCTAACCCGCGGTTGGCGACGCCTCCTAAGTTCTTTCTTTTCCTTTTCTTGGGAATTCGTATTTTTGTATGTCATTGATTGTTGGTTATTTTTTCTGTAAATGTTGATAGAGTAACGTCATAATATGTGAAAATGCATTTTCTTTTAATACGAGGTAGTTACAGACACCGAAATGACCATTCTATTACCTAAGTTTGTGCATGTTTAGAATTATGCTGTTTATTATTGAGAGTTTTACATAAATTAAAAAATGTTGTAGGTAGTTCTGTTTCTCAAATGTTTATCAATTATTAATGCTAAATTCACGTCAATAATGTAACCCTTCTTCCTATTGAAACGAAATTTAATGTAGGTATATTATCAATCGTTCAGTCCAAGTAATTACTTGTACATCATCGATTTGATTGTTTTACTCTACAGCATATTTTTTTAGTAGTTCAGTGTGACATCTTTTAATTTTTTTTGCTAGGTTTTAAGTTTATCTACTTATTCCCCTAATAATTTATATTTTGCTCTGGTTTTATTTAATTAACACGGATTTCTCGTGTCTAGAAGTGTCGGAAGTCTCGTAGTTTTCTAATACAACCCGTTATTAATTGATCGTTTAATTTGTTTGTGTAGCGTACGTTGTATATATTTTAATAGTACTATTATTGCCATTTTTTCTTTTTATATGTTAATCTTAGAAGCACCGTTGCGTGCCATTTTTCTTACTTAGAGTTGTTGAATTATTCTTTAATAAATTATTGAAAACGTATTAAACTTGATTGTGTAAATTATTTGTTTTTGATAATGATAAAGATTTTCCTTAATAATTACCTAATTTCTAACATCACGCAGGCTAGTAAATAAGTTTGTTCTGATTATATGTTGAGTTTTTGGTAAGTTTTTTAATGTACCGTAAAATATTTGACTATTTACACACTTGTCTCTATTTAACGCTTCGTAGTAGAACTATTCTTCAAATTGTAATATGCCATTTGATTTTTAAATCCTTTCAAAGATATTCGTGATTACTATTAGTTTCTATAAATAATGTAAACAGAGAAAATTGAATTTTCATGTACATTGTTTGATTTTAATATGATTATATCTTGTAAAATATCTCTTAATTGAATCACTGACAGGATTTGTTGTTCCAGGTATTTGCTATAGAAAATAGTGGCTAATTTTCTTGGAAAAATCCTAAGAACTTTAATTAAGAGATGTTTAGATTCATGTGGTGTAAAAATGATATAACATTATTATAGAGAGGGTTTGATTGATTTTAAAGATACAATATGTAAATTAATAATGATGAAAAAACGCAAATTTAAGTACAATGCTTCACTATTGAATATTGCTGAATACATATCCAACACAGTTCAATAGTTATTCAATTTCATCATTATTACTACAATATCTTAGGTTGGGTAGGAGAGCATTTTTATAACTACTTATTTTTTTTACATGAATGTTTCTAATGAATGTTGTTCGTTTTCTACGAGGTTAGAAAGTGTTGTGATTTAAATTATTTGTAGTATTTTTAACGCACAGTTGTACCATTTTGTCAGTTAGAGGTTTATAAATTATACATACTTTGTTTTTCTTTATATTGTAGCTTGAAAGATAAATATTTTATATGCCAAAAATAACGTAATTTTTAAAGGCTATTGTGCTATATTTGTAAAACATCCTCGACGAGTTGTAAATAATGTAGTTTTTTAACCGGATGTTTAACCCTTTTCCTTAAATAGCTTTTCTGTGAATTTAATTTTTGCTACTTCTAATCACTCAATATGTAAAATATTTAATAAACATAAAACTTAGCATGTATTTCTTTATTTAAAAAATAAAATAAACACAAAATTACTTAATTAGAATGAAAATGTTAAATTAGAACAAATGTAAAATATTGAAAACAATTACAAAATTTGTATTAAAAAATAGTATAACCATTGACGATCAATGTTTCTTCGTATTCTTAGCAACTTTCTTCTTTAAAGCAATCTCTTTCATGCTTTCGGTAAAACCTGTCATATCTTCATAGACATTATCTTTATTCTTCACAATCTTCCTAGATTTATCTTTTTCCAATTTTTTCAGCCGTTTTTCTTTCATGCTTTCAGTAAAACCAGCCATATCCTCATCGACATTATCTTTATTCTTCACATTCTTCTTAGATTTATCTTTTTCATTTTTTTTGAGCATTATTTCTTTCATGCTTGGGGTATAACCAACCATATTATCATCCTCGATATCCTCTTTATCTTCTTGTTTCTTCCTCTTTGGCTTGACCTTTGCCCTTTCTTTGTTCGATGCTCCTTTTATGGCATCTGTATTTGCAATCAAATCTGTCTCTTCCCCTAAAAAAAGTATTTTTTATGAACAATTAAATCATTTTTATGTCGAAAGTGTACCTTCACTTTGATTTAATTTCCTAGAAACGGTCTTTTTCTTTGTTATCCTCTTAGGGCTTTTAGTTTGTTCACCATAATTTATTTTTCGTCTAGTTCTTAATGAATAGGATTCCTCTCCAGAATCGCCAACCACATCCTCATCCTCATCCTCATCCTCATCTTCATCTTCACTTTCTTTCAAATTTTCTTTTTCATTGTCTGACGGTCGAGCTTTCTTTGCTACTTTTTTTTCTTTTGGATCTGGTGTACTCTTCCTCTTAGTGGGCGTTTTACCAGAAGCGGATCTTCTATTCATTGAAAATACTAAATGTTTGTCTAAGGAATCGGTGGGGTCTAAACCAGACAGAAATATCTTTCTAATTTTCAGATAATTAGGTTCGGCGTAATGTTTTAAAGAAATAATATACTTCAAATATTCCACCAGCGGCCCTAAAAAATACATTAATATCAGATGAGTTATGAGTAGTTAATAGTTATTGGAGTACTTGCCTGGAGGTTGTTGTTTTACAAAAGTAGATTTTAAAAACTGGGACATATTTTTATTGTTCAACATGGATTCCTCCTTGGATTGTTGGACTGCGTTAGGATCAGATAAATTCTTTTCCCAAGGCAAAGTACATCCCAGCCATTGGATTATGTTGTAGGCGAGAATCTCCAAATCCCCTCGTCTCGTTTGAACTGAAATATATTCCTGAAGTAAATTTCACTATTTTTATTTTTACATTACCTCCTTGGTGAGCATCTCTACTTAAATATTCTATTGTACCGTCATGCTTTTTCTTTGGATTCGGCTTGTATTCCTTATCTTCAGTGTATTTAGTAGCCAGTCCAAAATCAACCAAATAACACTGCTTGTTCTGCGTTTCTTTGGTCAAACCCAGTAAAATATTCGTTGCTTTTATATCCGCATGAATATACCCTTTACTGTGAATATACTCCAACACGTCTAACTGATAATATAAATAAGATATGTTAAATACAAAATTTTTAGAAAAAAGTATACATACTATTTGTACTGCTATTTTAAATACTGTAGTGGTAGGAAAGATTTTATTATTCTCTACGAAAAGTTTCCACAAATCTGAACCAAACTTCTCCATAACGATAAATCTGTATTTTTCACTTTTATACTCGTGAGATCCGGTGCCGAAATAAAGAGGCATGCCAAGTCTTTTCAGTCCCTTTTGCTTTTTGAAAGCCTCAACTGAAAAATAATCATTAAAGCTGTATTATCGAATTGAAGTTTTTTATTTACCATCTTCCCGTTTAGCAATTTTAATGAAGAAATGCATTTCCACGAAGAGTGGTCCATTGGCATGAGGTTCCTGAAGAGTGCATATAATATAATTAAATTAAGGAATGAACATTAACATTTTTATATTAATAGCAATTTATAGCAATATACTTACAATCTTTATTACATACGGATAAGAGGAAGCCTTCGATTGAGCCTCTTTGGCACTGTAAATAACCCCGAATCCTCCTTGGCCGATGGCAGGCCCTAATTTCCATTCGTTTTTCGAAATATCTTGCAGGACTTCGCCTAAGGGCAGGGGCTCCGCTAACTGATGCCCATTGGCTTTAGCGGCTTTTCTTTTTTTAGCCGCGGTCCCGACGGCTTTAGGCATATCGAAATAGGTTCTAGAACTAACAGTAGAATGATTTCTTTTATTAAAATGTAAATTACTACAAAATAAGTACCGGGAAAACTAAAATAAAATAACCTTTTTAGAACGGAACGTTGAACGTTCAAACTGACAATTGACAGCCTGTGGAATTATTTGACATATCGGATTCGGTAGAATTGAACTTTTACTTCTTAGCGTTAATAACCACTGTTAAAAACAAAAAAATGGATTTTGTTTGATTTGTTAGTAAATGAACTGTGCGTTTACAAATTTATAGCAAAATATACTTGTAAAATGTATTTATAAGTTAGTTTGTTACGTTTACGAACTTCAAATCAGTAGTCACCGTTAATTTCTTCACCTGTGCGAAGGTAGTTACATATCTGACAGGTAGAATTTGTTTTGTTGTCATTTACGAAAATAAGAAAAAGTTTTGTTAATTTATGAATTCCTGTGCATTTAACTGATTAAATTAGTGAATTCGAGCCAAAAATTTGGCTTTAATTACGCATTAGCATTATTCCTCTGCTGCTAATTCATTTTAAGCGGTGATTATTCATTAATAAAATAACCGTTGTCTTGACTTGGTGTAATCATTAAATGATTGAAGTTTTAGCTACTCGCGTGGCACACCTGTTTGTTTATTATTAATGTTTCAGTGATGGCTTCGAAAGGAATGCTAACTGTCGACGAGGTGAGTACATTTACATCTAATAATCGATTAGAATATAAAAATGCATCTAAACAACGCAAAAGTTGTGCCAAAACTGATTGTCTTGCCCTAAAAAAAGTTGGATAAATATGATAAGATAAAAGTGTTATCTTGGTTTTAAATGCCACGCCTATTACAACAAAATTTTGTTTATTTTGGCGTTATTTTTTTAATTGATTTGTTTTATAACTTATAATAAGCTGTATTTTGTTATGGTATTAGGTAAAAACTGAAATTTTATAATGCTGTGATTGAAAAAGCTTTAATTTTGATCACAATATTCTTATTGAAGGAGGAAGTTAGCCTATAAAGATTTCAAAAGTAATATTGAGATTTTTATCTGTTATTTAATCAGTTTTGTCTTGATAATTTTAAGCCTTTTCGTTTCCTTTGATTCTTGGGGTGTGTCTTTATCTCATGACTAATAGATTAACAAAAGTTAGGTTAATTTTGTTTTCATTAAATATGTGAATCATAGGTTAGTAATACTCAGTTCAACTTTCTTATTCTTATTTCAATTTACTTTTCTAATCATGATATTACGGTTCTGAACATTTCATCATTTACAAATAAATAAATGAGATATAAAATTATAAAAAAATATATTTAAAAATATAGTTCATAATTTTTTTTAGTTTCTCATAAAATCTCATAAGTAAAAAATACTTTGTATAAAATACATTTGGGTGTTGGGTAGACCACATACTAGACCGGCATGCACCCAGTAGATTTTTGTATGCTGGTTAGAAAATGAAAATTAAGGTTTTAAACTTAATGGACTATGGTCATCCCTCTTCCCAATTTATTTTGTAATTTTTTCCTATAAATTAATGTCGGCATTTTCGAGTAATTTTTAAAAAGACGGTTTTTGAATTTAGCTCTCAATAAAAAATTAGGAACAGTAGAATAGATTTATTTTCTACACAGAAAATGTATTATCCTGAAATACACAAATTCTCCAAAATGCTTCTCTTTGCCACTTACTTATAAGACTAATTTTTGATTTTATAAATTATTTTAGACCCTGAACCTTCCTGAACCCTCCTGAATTCACTCACCCTTGCAGAAAATTATGAAGGAATCGGGACCTCTTGGTCTGTGCTTTGAGATTGTGGACCTGATATGAAAGCTAATGGGTAGCAAAATGAGCCAAAGGCAGTTAAATGCAACTGGCGGAGCATTGCGAAAATTAAATTTGATTCAATTTTAAGACTCTTTATTAAATGGAACGGAAAATGATTTTTACCAATTCGTTAAATTATTTTAACTAGTTATTAAATTAATTATTTTAGCGGTATCGTAAGCTCAAGGATTAGGGGTTTTAATTCAATATAGTCGAGTCGTCCTTAAATCTGTCGAGTTATTTTTGTCGAAGGAGGTAAGGTATCATCCTTTTTTATCTATATTTAGGCGGGATAATAACAATTTTATACCAAGGACGCTTCTCGAAGCGGCACTCTCCTACCGAAATTGTCCTTGAAATTCAATCGATATCAACCGCGATACTCGAATCTAAAAACCATTGACGTCGGTGCTTTTTATATGCGATATTAGGTACCGGTTAAGGAATATTTCTTTACTTCGCTATTTACCTAATCGATTAATTAATTTATTTCGTTGCTCATATCGCAAATGAACGAATTCTAAATTGAATTTACACTGCAACTAATGCTTAGCGATTACTATTGCCCACGTAATTTTTCAATTTAAAATACGAGTTACAACTAGATTTCATCCGTACGAGAAATGTTTCGGTTTTTGGTCCTTACGCACGTATAATACACCAAAAGAAAATACAAAAATTACTCAACTAATTTTTCAATTTAATACAGAGGTTGAAATTTCATCCTTCATTTCACGAATATTAATAAAGGAAATTATACATTACTCAACTTAACTCCTTTACTCAACAGAAAAGTTTGCCGAAAATATGTTAATGTCTGACCTTGTAATTTTCCAATTTAAAATACAGGTTACAGCTAGTTTTCATCTGGAAGGAGGGGGTTTCGAAAGGAACTCTTTAGGTCTATTGCACACTGATATAATGCATTTTTTACTCCAACAAATGTAGGGTGAAACAAAAAGGTGAGACATACCACCCTATACATATTCTGGACCCTATTTAGTAAGTAAGTAATATGTAAAAAAATATTTAATGTCAATTCCTAATTTTAACCCCAGAATATGTGGTATAATTTATGACCCATCTTTTTGTTATACTTCCTGTACACCTAGTTTCGAATTGGACACTGATCTGACTCCCCTAGTGAACATTTACAAACAGACAGAGCGTCGTTCAGTTTCTTCGATCGTAAACCGCTGGAAGAGCAAAGATTTTCCTGTACCATTTCTTGTGTGAAGACGGCCTAAATGGAAAATTGCTTGGTCGGATACGGTCGTTTACGTGATACGACAACGGAAGATTTTAAATTAAACGCTTTGTGGGCGACAGCAGCTCCACAAGCGACGTTCTAACCTTGACTGAAATGTTTGTTTAATAGTACTATAGTTGAACAATAGCAATTGATGAATATCCGCCAAATAATCGAAAATCATAATCATCGAATACAGCCTCTCTTTCATAAGAAAAACGCCCTGTTAAAGATTATGGGATCATTTGGTTTAAAGGCCAGAAGGTCATGCTCATAAGTCTGCTCAAGTCTACATTTTTTCCTGTTTTTTACACCGGAGGGCTTTATTATTTCTGCTGGTGCAGCAGATTTCCTATTTTGCTATACATTCCATTATGATACAACCTCTTATGTTGTGGTTCAACAGATGAAAAGAATATATACTTAAAAATTACTTTTTATCAATTCCTTTAATTAGTTAGATATCATCTATTTAGTATTCCTAACTTCCTTGTACTTACCAAATTGTATTCATATCTTCCCGAATGACTTTGAATGCATTCAAACTAAACCAAGTTCAAAATAACACTTTACATAACTGGTAATTGGCGTAAATTGTATAATATAGTAGCAGTGATGTTCCATTGTGCAAAGTGGGTCTATTTTATGTTAGTTAGTTCGTTCCTGTACTTCTCTCCATTCGTTTGTGTGTGACGATTTTTCTATCTGCATTGATCGGATATAACGTTGTGTTGTGGCCTAGTGTTGTTGCACCCTATCGACTTTCATTATGGAAGAAGATGGCGGGAATTACTTTGTAAGTCCGGTTAATTTGTGTAATAATTAATAAAATATTTCAAGTGGTTTTTAAGATAATCAATCAACAAATTGAGTGGTGTAAGAAGATAAACCTTGTTAATTAATGTAAATGCTCGTTTTATATAATTTTTAATGTTATCAACGTGATAAATATAATGAAATTGATGCTGATGTTATCAAATAAAAAACTTTCAATTACCGTGCAATACAATTAGCGAACACTCCTTAAATTACTACGTTAATTAATTAGAAGCGAAATTCAAAACTTATTTTATTGAGTGGCGTTCATGATTAATGATGTTGATGAACATTATCTCTATCAAATATTTAACACGGGGTAATTCCAAAGATTTTTCATCTTCTAAATACCCTCTTCTGTTATCCATCAAGTGGAAATCGTTTCCCAACTAGTTCGTCAGCAACTATTCCTACCTCGTTCTTGTTGGAATAGAAAATTCCATTATCCATTCGTCCTATTTCTTGAATTCCACGCAAGGAGAATTCCCGAGATGCAGCTAAATCGAATAATCTCCGAAGTGAGCTATATGGACCTACATGGAAACATTCGTTTGCTGTGTACTGATTTCTCCAGGGGTAGTTAATTCCCTTTAAAAGCTAGAAGTGGGAAATCTCTTCAGTCCTCAAAGCGTGCAATTTATTTTTCGATTCAAGTGATGAACAAATTTTGCGAAGAGGCAATTAGTTTAATGGACGCCTCGTTTAGAAGGTAACACAACTCTATGAAGTTGAGGAAGGACATAATGAAGAAATATAATTAGGTATTTATTAGAACACCTGGAAAATTGCAGATGCAAATTATTAATAAGCAAAGTAATTACTAAGAAGAATTTATAATCAAGGATAATGGAATGAACGAAAACGCTATCCTCGCATCTACTGAAATAAAAAAACCCACCAAAGTTCGTCCAGTTTTCCACCAAACAAACACGGGATGAAGTGGCAGTGACAAGCCGGTGGGATCTTCCCGTGCCGTCGGCAGCGCCGGGATCATTACAGGGGCGAAAGAAAAGGGGCGCGAGGGGCGCTGGGGGTCGTTACAGAAGGGGCGGCAGCCGTCGTTTATTGATCGGCGGCCCGAACGAGGTCACCAGAGTTTTAGTTTCCCTTCGCAACAGCGGGATGATGGGCGCCGGAGCAATGTTGCAAATTTCCTAGCCGGCTGATAGAAGATAATAAGATTGTATCTTGCACGTCGCATTGTAGACAGTGCTTTGTTGAAATTTTTATGGGCGATTTTCGGTGTATCGGCTTTTAATATGGGGAGAGTTAACGTTTAATTTTTATACGTATTTGGAACATAAAAAATAAATAGGTGTACTTAAAAATTTACCTGTTTTCGTACGATGTTTTTGTTACAACATCTTAGGTTGAATAGAAAATTGTCCACACCTACAAACACTAATTTTTCACAACTTGTTATTTTTAATTTTAATTTCTAATTAAATTAAATTAAATTAAATTTCTAATTAAATTTAATTTCTAATTAATATTGTCATTATATTTAATTAAACATGTTAACGACCTATTAGATTTTAACCTAATTCTATATTTAGCTTCAGTCGGGTTCGATGTATCTGCTTTCAATTTTTCTATTAATAATTTTTGATACATTTAAATAACCGACTACCGTAAAATTTCGATGGGAAATCCAGAGATAAGAGCGACCGCCGGAGGAACTGCATGAAACATTTTGCGGACTACCTCAATCTAAAAGTTTTGACAATGCCAACCTAATTTTTATGATTGCCGCGTTTAATTCAATCACACGCAGTTTGTTTTAATCCAATCCCATCGAAGGGGGAATTTTATGTGCCGTACCTACCCGTTTCCATGCAGGAAGTATTTTCATAACATGCGTTGCCTTGAATTTGATATAGGTATTTTATCTATTTAATTATTTGAGCGGAGAAATTATATGCATAACAGGAGGAAATCAGAAATTAATTGGTAACTAGAGCCGATGGGAATGAACAAAAATGACAATAAAAAGGACATCAATTTATTCACACTTGATAAGTACCATCAAAAAATTTAGGAATACATATTATGCAAATATTTGCTTCCTGAATTCATTTTTAATACTTATACTCAATATTATAGGTATGATTCCTTTAATATACCTACACATATTCAATACAATATATGCGCCTTTAATACATACAAAGGCCGGTAGTTCTCCATAAATACAGATACATTATGTGCCTATCAATCTTCCGTCTCCTTGTTTATAGATGTCACATTTTCTGGAATTTATCCTTGCCGAATATTTACGATTGGTTAGGTATCGATTTTCCGCCGGTTATCTGTCCATGCACACGCTATTCAGTACGACCAAGAGTGTCGTCGCCAAAGCGATAATGAAACTCCATCGCGTAAACGTGAA